GCCTAACTGTTCGATCGGCCGGTGATGCTTGTAGATTCAAATGGTTGACAAGGTACATACATAAATAAATATTTCCATGCATAACCTGCCAATTTCTTATAGTCATCAGGTTTACTATCTGTTTCTTTGCTTTCACNAGTTTGCCGTTGGGCTTTGGATTCGCAGAAGCATTACGGTTGTGCTTTGTTTATATCATTATCAGGCAGCCATTTCTCTGATTTTCCTTTCTTTTTCTTCTGGTTATGCGGACCATTTCTGTCTCATTCAAATGTTGAGATTCACCATATATTAGGAACTTTTGCTGTAGTACATAAGGTCAGGGTAAGTGCTAGAATCAATCATTTTTTAAGCGCTCGAAATAGTTGAAACGTTTTGATTTTTAAGTAAATCGAAATGAAGCAATGATTGAATCACATTTTCAATTCTTTGAATTGTTTTAGAATTTTTCGGCATATTTTCAAAAATATTTCAAGGTAATTTACGTTTCTTTGGTATACTTTGATTCATGTTTTGGAATATTTTATAAAAAAATTAGGGATAATCTGTACCTAAAGGCACGATGGAACGTAAGTGAGAAGTAACAGATTTGTGAGGGTAAAAATTCAATGTGAATGGTTTTGAGATAGATGTTGGAGACCGTTACATGAGTCTATTTGAAACTGTTGAATAAACTTATTGAAGTCTGTCCTATTTAATATTATAGATTTGACACAAATAAAAATAATATTTTATAATATTTAATCTTCTTATAAATTCTATATTTTACTCATTTTTGGCTATATATTTCATAATTTTTGAACCAAAGAAAGCTCCAACAAATCATACCAATTCTAAGAAATAAATTTTAGTTTGCTAATTTTAACAGATTTGGTATGAACTTTTTTTTTGTTTTAGTACCCAACTTGTTTGACTCAATTAATTTTCTTTTTCATAAATCATTACAGCGGGCCCAATTAAGAATATCCAAAAAAAATATATATCAGGGTGGTCCTAGACCCCTTCTCTATCCGCTAATGCTAAGAGAGAGAGAGAAAGTGAAGAGTGAAAAAAGGAAGGTAAAATTTAATGTGAATGATTTTCAGAAAAATGTTGGTGGTTGTTAGATGAATTTATTTAAGACCGTAGTATGAACTTATTAAAGTCTTTTCTGTTTTATATTATAGATAAATTTATGAAATATAATAGAATGACTTAAAAAAACATTAATTTATATACATATAATCAAAGTTGAACATTAATTTATATATATATATATATATATATATATATATATNTAGTACCCAACTTGTTTGACTCAATTAATTTTCTTTTTCATAAATCATTACAGCAGGCCCAATTAAGAATATCCAAAAAAAATATATATCAGGGTGGTCCTAGACCCCTTCTCTATCCGCTAATGCTAAGAGAGAGAGAGAAAGTGAAGAGTGAAAAAAGGAAGGTAAAATTTAATGTGAATGGTTTTCAGAAAAATGTTTGTGGTTGTTAGATGAATTTATTTGAGACCGTAGTATGAACTTATTAAAGTCTTTTCTGTTTTATATTATAGATAAATTTATGAAATATAATAGAATTGACTTAAAAAAACATTAATTTATATACATATGATCAAAGTTGAACATTAATATATATATATATATATATATATATATATATATATATAATCAAAATCGATTCAAATCTAATATAAATTAAAAATCTAATTTATCAAAAAGCATATTGTCATGTTTTATCAAAAAAAGTTTTACAAATATTATTTATAAAATATTATTTTTTAATTAGTACAAATTATTACAAAATTATTAATTTATAAAAATATATTAGCGTTGGATTTTTTTAAAAGATAAAAAAAAATTAGTCTTGAGCTTTTGATTCAAGATATGTGTAAGACATGTTAGTTTGAGATAATTAATTAAATAAATTATATTCAATATAAATATGTTAAACATCGCCTTTGTTTTTTTTATTTGTTAAATTGATGAGTTTTTTTTTAATCAAAATGTTATTATTATGTCTTATAAAAATTCAAATTGTTACACTACACATATAATATTAATGACAAATTTAATTCATTTAATTATAATGTTAATGAAAGTCCTATGTTTCAAGATCAGTCATAATCATTGACCGATTAGGAAAAAAATAATAAGGAAAAAATAGTAATTTATTGACCTTTGAATGAATGAATTTGAGATCCTAGGATGTATCCAAAATTAGTCGTAATCGTTGACCGGCTGAGAGGAAATATTAAGGAAAAAAAAGTAATTTCTTGACCGTTGGGCGAATGAATTTGAGACCGTAGTATAGACTTGTTGAAGCCACCCTATTTTATATTATAGAATTGAGAATTTTTTATCCGTTTTCATTCTGTTTCTAAAATGTTTTCATTTCTTGATGGACAAAAAATAATGTACAAAAATAAAATTTTGATCCTTTATAATAACAAGGGTACGGTGTTAGGAATAAAATTCGACATGATACCAAGGATCGAATGACATCATGAAATAAAATAAAATAAAATAATAAATTGACACATGTCACGTATTTATTGAAAGAAAAAAAAACATGTGCAGAAGACAAACAAGGATTATATTAATTCACTTCTTAATTTGTTTCTCACAATATGAAAAATCAGTAAATGATTTCTGCAGCATTGCAACTTCCTCTCTCTCTCTCTCTCTCTCTCTCTCTCTCTCTCTCTCTCTCTCAAGTTTGCATGAATAGTTGAAGTTTTGAGCATACACACCTCCATTTATCTTATTTGCGGTTATTTTTACAACATTTATGGTCCTTTTAGCATTGCTATAATAACTTAAAAATTGATAAAAATAGTTACCATAATAATGGTAAAAATATCCACAAAATATAATAAATTTTTTTATACCAAAGAAAAGTGGTCAAACACAGTTTCCACAAATATGATAAAAATATTTACAACATGATAAAAATACTCACAAAAATAATAAATCATTCATAAAAATAATAAATTTTTTGGTTGTTAAATAACACATAAAAATTATAAAAACACTCAATAAAGTGATAAAAAAATAGAGATACAATATCGAAATTATTACTTTGATACCGTAGTCAAGTCCATTGAACATAGTGTGAAAGATTGTCAAATCACACAAGTCGAAATGGACATGGTCTTTTTGTAAATAGGAATGCAAATGCATTTTCAGAAGCCGCTTGGCTTCTTCAATTGTCAATTGTAGCAGCTACACATTGACAACTGTGGTTAAGGATTGACTATGCATAATGCATGTTTGTGGTGCCTCTAGTCGTGTCAAATTTGTTTATCTCATGCACAACCTAATTATAGACGTATATACTCATATTTAAATTAACTTATTATAAATCGAGTTTGAGGAACCAAGTCCGTTACAGCCCTCTAAATCCTAATTTAGAACTATGTACATACCCGAGAACATTGTGGATTGATTTTCCATTTCAATGGCGGATATTGCTAAGAATTGCCAAACTTTTTCATTAAAATTTCACAACTTTTTTCATCAAGGTTGTTTTTTTTTTTTTCCGGAAAGTAAATAAAATCGAACATTAAGATGCAGTAATGGCAATCTTCATTCCAGCATCACAGTGGCCAGGGGTACCTCAAATGAAGTAGCTAACTCCCTTCTCAAGCTTGAATTGATCATTTTTTGGGGAAAGTAAATAAAATAAAATCGAACATTAAGATGCAACATCATAACGGCTTTGTTGGGTTCTTTTGTGGAGTCTAGTTTGTGTTGATTCAGATGATGACCCGACTTAAAATAATGTTGCGTGGTTTTTTTAATGAAAAATTTTTTAAGGCTTAGTCTATGGAGCGGAGACTTGGGCTGATGCGTAGAGTTTTAATTGTAGAACTAATTTTTTTTGGGCTTGTTTTGTAGCCCGGTGCGCATGACATATAAAAACTATTATTTTGATGATTAGGATTGGATTGGTGCTGTACAACCGCTCTCTGTATTCGTTCTTCTCAATAATAAAATCCTTGCAGCTTCGTAGACGTAGGCAAATTGCCGAACCACGTAAATACTATCTTATGTATGTATGTATGTGTTTGTTTTTTTTTTTACGCATAATTTCTCTATCTTTGTTCCTCACAAGATTAGAAATTTTGTGCAAAATTCCTAGCAGGCTTTACAAGGGATCACCTTGCAGGAATTATAACCTGCCTTGTCTACAACAACCACACTGTGAATTGCTGTGTTGTACTTGAACACGGCAAGACAATACATTTTAGCAGTCTAATAAACAATAGTACTGGATATGACTTTATGTGCATCAATCACGTTATGTCACGTTTTGTTTGGTTCGGGTCATAACTAGGAATTTTTGTCGAAGATGACTTTATGATAATCAGTGAGCTCGTTTTACGTTATGTTTGGTTCTGAGTCACATTCATAAAGTATCATTTTGAGTTTGTATCATGTTTGTATCGTGTTTTGGTTGGCGTTTGTATGAACCAAAAACCATGGGAATATGATTCCCTTATTTATGAACTAATCCACAACAAATAGGTTCTTCCCACAAATTCCAAATTTAAGTGGTCAATATTTTCTACCCAAAAACAAAAATTAGTTCTACGATAATCCGTTTAATACTAGATCAAGAAATGAATAAATATATAAAATTAATTCTACGATAATTCATACAAAACTAGATCAAGAAATAAACAAATAATTTAGATCGGGCATTTTCTTTTTACAATACTAAATCACTGAACTTGTCCCGTCAAAATTGGAGTATTTGTGTTTAACATTATCTACTATACCCATTAAAAAAATGTGGGTACCAAAGTGGACCATGAGACATTGATTTTGGTTTGATGGAATATAAAAATGATACAGTAAAGAAATAATAATAAATTTTTTACACGTGACAAAACTTTTATTGGACGGGAAGTGTAACTATCGTACCAAAAAATTAATTTTCGATACCATGGATCCTGTAGACTCATTTCTTATTCGTATTTATAGATAGTGTCATTTTTCACTTACCAAGTGTGTCACCTGCTTTAAAGGTTTTCCCTGCAGGCCAGTTTTGTGCATTGAAGCTCCAACCTTGAGCATCTCCCACTGTATAATTGGCTGCATCAGCAAAATTGCCATGCAACAGCAACCACAGTAGCATGGCTGGGACAACAATTGCAACCATTTTCTCCCCAGACATCATCTAAAATATTAGAGCAAATCAGAGAGAGAGAGCGCTTTGGTGTGGCCATTTGAATGGGTGCAGTGGGGCATAGGGGTTTGTCTAGCTGAGAGAACTCAGAAAACTTTGGGTTACTCTAATAAGATTTTGAGTATGCTACGTGAATNTCTAATAAGATTTTGAGTAATGCTACGTGAATTTAAAAAGTAGATTTAAAAATTAAACTTGATAATTACAACCACCGATTTCACTGTGTGTCCCAGCATTTATTGGGACCCACTACTTATTCAATAGTTGAGATTATCAAGTTTAGTTTTTAAGTTCATCTAGCATTACTCTAAGATTTTTATGATCTTCCAAAGGGAACATGTTTATTTGAATTCTTGTAATCGTCCTCTATTTTAAAATAAACTACACATATAATTCTCATATTATGATCGTTATATCAATTAAGCCCCTGAACTTCTTTTTTTTTTTTTTGTGTCAATTGAGCCCTTAAACTATTTAATTGTGTTAATTAAACCCTCATGTTTGGCTCCGTTAGATTTTCTAACAGAAAGTGACAAAGTGTGTCACCCACATGTCACAAATAATTGGAGTCAACTACACATATAGCCCTCAAACTATAATTTTTGGGTCAATCGAGCCCTTTAATCTTTTTGTGTCATATAGTCATGTGAGTGACATACTCTAACAAAAGCAGATAGAATGACTTAATTGACAATATTAGATAGTTCAAAAGCTTAATTGACATAAAAAAAAAAAGTTCATGAATTTAATTGACACAAAGGTCATAATTTGAGAGCTATTTGTGTAGTTTACTCTTTATTTTAAGTGTTCATTTATTTATATGATCTCATTTTTGGAATAATCCTACATTCACCTTTTTTATGGAAATTTGGTGTTTGCTTATTACGTTCCGATCAATTTCATTTACTTTTACTACAAACATCATGATCGACAACAATTACTTGTTTTAGGTAAGAAATTTTTTATATGCATTCATTTCATAGTCTCAACCAAGCGAATGTAATACTTAATGGAAAACATTGAAATTGAATTTCATTTAAAAGTCGAAACAACAACTATTAGACACTCTTAGTTGCCAACCAGACGTATGTGACCAATAATATTTTGGAAATTAAAACAAAATTGATAGGATTTCTATTATTCTTTATAGGTCATGTTAGGTTTAACATTTATTGACACGACTCATCAACTTGACATGAAAACTGTACATGCTATAGTAGGGGCGGAGTCAGAAATTATGTGTAGGGTGGACACTTTACTAAAAAATTTTAATTTTTTTTTTCTAATCAATAAAAATAAAATAATATTTTCAAATTTACTATATTGTATTCGATATTTAAAAATTTATAAAATATGAAAAGGGTGAAACTTTGATAAATATAGTATATATAAATAAAAAAAATNGTTTCGTGTTTATCCATTTTGGTTGATTCTGTGGTTCTTTATGTGTTTGTCTTTATCCTGAAGTTATGGTTCCCAATGTTTTTCTGTATCCACTATTCGTTGACTGCAGTATTTGATCCGTCTTCATTACTAGCGGGTTTTTATTTATCGGAACTGTCAAGCAATGTTCCCATATCTCCCGTCCATGTGTTATGCTACAACTTTTGCAAGCTGGTCCTGTGCCAGACTCCTGACTTTCAAGCTTGTTATCGTGTCGGGCTTGTTACTCTAAGTTTTTTAGCAACCGGTCTGTGGCCCAGTTCGTACTAAGGAGAATTCGTTTGGGCAAGCTGCTTGGATCGCTTTCTGCAAACTCAGATGGTTTTGGACTCTAAAAAAATCCAAACTAAAACCAATCATTATTACCCACCGTAGGTTGGCTGAGCATTGTTAATATAACTGATTCGAATCATTTATTACAAAAAATAAAAAATAAAAAATTGCCTTAGTAATTGGTTCCAGGTTATGTCAATCGATCTACTCAAAATGATTGAAAGTGACAGAAAGTAAACAAGAAAATGAGATCGAGCCAAAGCTATAATAATAGATGTGTTTATGGTCCCTTTGGCAAACTTGGGAAAATTACACTTTGGTGCCTCAATTATAACTTTTTTTTACATTGTTCCATTTGCTAGTATATTTTTCAAATTATACCCTCAATTGTTAAAAATGTATTTCAAAATTATATTTTTATTTTGAAATGATTGAAGCCCACTGAAATATATCATAGCGGAAGTTAGCGGTTGGTTTAATGGCCACTAATCTCGCTAATTCAAACTTCATCATCCCTTTTTCCTTTAATACTGTCTAATCAAAAAAAAAAAAAATCATATCACAACATTTGTTTAGGATTACTCTCCAAATATAAGGAAATTCCACACAATAAATTTTTTGCATCAAATTAATGTGGAATGATAGGTTTGTGGATTTCATTGACTCTTNTTATTTAAAATATACATAAGTAATATTTAAAAAAAAAATTGAGGGTGGGCATGTGTCCCCTTGGTCCTCAAGTAGCTCCGCCCTTGTGTTATAGGGTATTAGGGTAGTATCAATGCGTTTAGATTATAACTAAGTTGATCAAATCGAGTATGTATTGAGTCAATAATCTCACGAATACAAACTCGAANATCCATCAAAAAAATTTATTTGGAAGTAAATTCATATTTAATTTTACTAATAAGTAGTTAAGTCCACTATTTTTTTAAAACTACAAAATACCCTTCTAATGACTTAAAAATCAATCTTTAACATTAAATTAGTTTCCTAAATAGTTATCATTGATTCACACTTAGTATATATAATAAAACACATATGAAGTTGAATTTTATCTTCCGTACATTTTTTCCTTCAAAACCATCACATAACTCATTTTTATCATATGTTCAATCATTTAATATTTGATTAATTTATAATTTNCGACCTATTGTGAACCATACCCATTGATAGTGCTCGAAATTCACTGGATTGGGTTGCAGAGTAGACTTGGGTGAAGTTTAATGAAAATGTGCGTATTGGAGAACGTGAGTGTGTATGCTATATGTATTATGCAAGAAGACGACAAAATATGAATGGTTCACCTTAACTGAAAGACTAAGGTTACATCCACTGTAAGAAACACTCTTATTCTTTATGGATTGTATTACTTAAAAAAGAATATTGTTATTACATAATACTTGACTTGAAGTCTTTACAAGACGTTGCCTAGATTTTACTTGATGGCTTCCAGAATAGTTCTTTCGTATATTGTAGTCCTGTTGGTTATATATACAATTGATAGTTAGGGTTTCGTGTTTATCCATTTTAGTTGATTCTGTGGTTCTTTATGTGTTTGTCTTTATCCTGAAGTTATGGTTCCCAATGTTTTTCTGTATCCTCTATTCGTTGACTGCAGTATTTGATCCGTCTTCATTACTAGCGGGTTTTTATTTATCGGAACTGTCAAGCAATGTTCCCATATCTCCCGTCCATGTGTTATGCTACAACTTTTGCAAGCTGGTCCTGTGCCAGACTCCTGACTTTAAAGCTTGTTATCGTGTCGGGCTTGTTACTCTAAGTTTTTTAGCAACCGGTCTGTGGCCCAGTTCGTACTAAGGAGAATTCGTTTGGGCAAGCTGCTTGGATCGCTTTCTGCAAACTCAGATGGTTTTGGACTCTAAAAAAATCCAAACTAAAACCAATCATTATTACCCACTGTAGGTTGGCTGAGCATTGTTAATATAACTGATTCGAATCATTTATTACAAAAAATTAAAAATAAAAAATTGCCTTAGTAATTGGTTCCAGGTTATGTCAATCGAACTACTCAAAATGATTGAAAGTGACAGAAAGTAAACAAGAAAATGAGATCGAGCCAAAGCTATAATAATAGATGTGTTTATGGTCCCTTTGGCAAACTTGGGAAAATTACACTTTGGTGCCTCAATTATAACTTTTTTTTACATTGTTCCATTTGCTAGTATATTTTTCAAATTATACCCTCAATTGTTAAAAATGTATTTCAAAATTATATTTTTATTTTGAAATGATTGAAGCCCACTGAAATATATCATAGCGGAAGTTAGCGGTTGGTTTAATGGCCACTAATCTCGCTAATTCAAACTTCATCATCCCTTTTTCCTTTAATACTGTCTAATCAAAAAAAAAAAAAATCATATCACAACATTTGTTTAGGATTACTCTCCAAATATAAGGAAATTCCACACAATAAATTTTTTGCATCAAATTAATGTGGAATGATAGGTTTGTGGATTTCATTGACTCTTACTAAATCCAATGGACAATATTTGTTCCACATCATTTGGTACAATTGGGGTTGAGTCTTCTTTAAGGGACTTATAATGAGTTTAATCCATCAAAAAAATTTATTTGGAAGTAAATTCATATTTAATTTTACTAATAAGTAGTTAAGTCCACTATTTTTTTAAAACTACAAAATACCCTTCTAATGACTTAAAAATCAATCTTTAACATTAAATTAGTTTCCTAAATAGTTATCATTGATTCACACTTAGTATATATAATAAAACACATATGAAGTTGAATTTTATCTTCCGTACATTTTTTCCTTCAAAACCATCACATAACTCATTTTTATCATATGTTCAATCATTTAATATTTGATTAATTTATAATTTAACATAATTTTTATTTTAGATATTATCCATACACGATAGTATACATATATTGAGAAAATTTTAACGAATTACATATTTTGAAAAAAAAAATTGTCAATATTTTAAAGAAAATAATGGGTGAAAATAAATTTTGAATGACGTAATCAAATAAATGAAGGAAAAAAATTATTATTTAATATAGTGAGATCAATTTTTTGAGCTTAAATTTTATGTTTTATAATATATTTAGGCACAAGTTATGACTAGTAAATAGTCTTATTCTATATATGGATATAGATAAATATGAGACAGAGAGAGAGAATTTTAATGTTAGTCACATTTCTAAAATTTAGGAGTTGTTTGGTTTTTAAATTTGTTGTAATTAAATATAACTAGTGAGGGTATTTTAGACAATAGAAATTAAAATGG